GGAATGTAGGTTGAAGCGTGGAACGAGACGGCGAATCGAAAAAAAATCGAAGTATCCAACTTTTACCCCGTGAGTCGACTCATAACAGTCATGAGTCGACTCATCAGGTTGAGTCGACTCATGCTTGTCATGAGTCGACTCATCGTTGGTTTTTGTGTTTTGTCCAGTTTCGGACGAGTCGACTCATCTCAGTCATGAGTCGACTCATCGAAGGTTTCCTGATTCGTTTGGGTTTCTGTTTGCACGAATTCCTGTTAGGGTTTAGTCTGATTATTTATCAGATTACCATCCATGTTTGTACACATATATAAATGGTTGTTTAGGGTTTCTAAACATGATCTTAGATCAGAGAGAAATTCTAATCATTGTATTAGGGTTTAGAGAGGATTAAGAGGTTGTTCTCGATTCTAGCGAGATTATGAGAGAGATATTTGTAATAATTGATTCTTCATAATCTAGAGAAGGTATTTTCCTTTGCCACCACTGAATTGTTCTTGTGTTTCTGTCATCCTTTTCTCAACCCACCTTTAATAATTCCGTGATCAAAGGTGCTCGCACGGCAACTCGTATCAAGTTGGTATCAGAGCGATCAGATCCTGTGAAGGGGGTAACCTGTGTATGGTCCTTACTCGATCGCAATATAAGAAGCTAGACGAGATCCTTATTTTATTGGAAGGAGTCCAGGTTTTAAGGAAGAAGAAGATGGCTGAAGGAGACAATTCAGCGAGGATTGATGCATTGGAGAAGCAGATCAAGACGATAGGTTTGACTCTCACACAACTCGTCAGTCTTATCCATGGATGTGACAAACAAGATGAATCTTCTTCAAAGTCCAAGAAGAAAATTGTGGAGTCCGATAGGGAGAGAGTGGATTCAGATCCCGACGAGGAGGAGGAGACCGTGAAGACTATGTTGCATCAAGGGGTAAGAATTCTTACCAGAACCTGAAGATTGACTTCAAGATGGAGATTCCTGTTTATGATGAGAGTGTTGACGTCGAGAGGCTTGATGATTGGGTCGAGCGTATGGAGATGTATTTCACCCTCTATGGATATTCATCCAAGGAAAAGATTATGTTTGCGACTTTGAACCTTTCGGAGCACGCGTTAACGTGGTGAAAATCCTATTGTAAGCAGGAGAAGAAGGCAGTGTCGTGGAACAAGTTTAAGGAGCTACTAAAGAAGCAGTTCTATCCAGTAGGGTTCCTTGAGGAGCGTTGGTACAAGTAGTACGACTTGCGTCAAAGGGTCAATCAAATCGTTCAAGAATACACCACGGAGTTCCAGCAGCAGGCGATGGTCCTTAACATTGCGACAGAGGAATATTCTGTGTTTATGAAGTATATATGTCGGGATTGAGTGATTACATCCGGAAGGAGATGAAGTTATTCACGGTGGAATCTATTGCAGAGGCGAGCGTGAAGGCTATTGCCATCGAAGGCAAGCAAAAGAAGAGCAACGGAGCAAAGGGAGATGCAAAGCAAGTTGGAGGCGAGTCTAGTGGTTCTCAATCTAAGGAGGAGAGGAAGAAGGGTGATCCAGGGAAAGCAGGGCTGATTTGTGGTCATTGCGAGAAGACAAGACACGTAGCTGATCGGTGCTGGGAGAAATATCCTCATCTCAAGCCAAGAGGATTGAAGAAGAAGGAGGAGAAAAAGGCATATGTGATAGCTCAAGATCCGAAAGAAGTCCCGGGGATGACAGAGCCTAACAGCAGTCTTAACCTTATGGCGGGGAACAGACCACGAAGGAGGACGACGACCCGAGAGAGTAACTCTTTGTGCTTAAGTTGCAAGTGAAGACCAGTTTGGTTGATATCATAGTTGATCCAGGCAGTGAGAAGAATTTGATATCTGAGGCTTTTGTTCAGAAGCTGGGTCTGAAGACGGTCAAACATCCGAAGTCCTATCCATTAGGGTGGATTCAGAAGGAGGAGAGACTGAGTGTAGTTGATCAATGCACTATTAGATTTACGCTCCATGAGTCGTATATTGACAAGGTCACGTGCGATGCAGTTCCATTGGATGTTTGTCAGATTATACTGGGTAATCCGTATTTATAGGATAGACATGCGATCTACGAGAGACGGGTTCAGAAGTATACATTCACCAAAAGCGGTGAAAAGTTCATATTTCGTTCAGCGTCTCTTCCTAGGGAGAAAAGCTTGGGAACGGCGGCGCGAGCGAAGAGGCTAGTGAATGCAAGCAAGAAGTTTGTCTCGCTGTGCATTAGACTTCCAGAAAAGTCATCGAAAGAGGATTACGTGTTGGAGCGGAAGACGGCTATGACTAGGCAAGGAGCGAAGGAGTCATTTCCAGTTGTACATTGATATCAGGTTTCTAGCAAGGCCAGATGGTGCAGAAAAGATGGAGGAGCTCGAGAGTTTCCTCAGCTAAAGTTCTAACTTGAATGTGACTTCATGTTCCTAAAGAGGGGACCCATGATATGAGTGTATATTCTCTTCGGAACTTAGTGATCCTCATGGGAGCTTGAGGATAGCTGATTCTCATGGTAGCTTAAGAATAGAGGTGTAAAACAGCACAGTAGAACGCAGGTTGAAGCGTGGAACGAGACGATGAATCGAAAAAATCAAACTATCCAGTTTTCACCCCGTGAGTCGACTCATAACAGTCATGAGTCGACTCATCAGGTTAAGTCGACTCATGTCTGTTATGAGTCGACTCATTGCTGGTTTTTGTGTTTTGTCCAGTTTCGGACGAGTCAACTCATCTCAGTCATGAGTCGACTCATCGAAGGTTTCCTAGTTCGTTTGGGTTTTTGTTTGCACGAATTCCTGTTGGGGTTTAGTCTGATTATTTATCAGATTACCATCTATGTTTGTACACCTATATAAAGGGTTGTTTAGGGTTTCTAAACACGATCTTAGATCAGAGAGAAATTCTAATCATTGTATTAGGGTTTAGAGATGATTAAGAGGTTGTTCTCGATTCTAGTGAGATTGTGAGAGAGAGATTTGTAATAATTGATTCTTCATAATCTAGAGAAGATATTTTCCTTCGTCACCACTGAATTGTTCTTGTGTTTCTGTCATCCTCTTTTCAACCCACATTTGATAATTCCGCGATCAAAGGTGCTCATACGACAACTCGTATCAGTTTATTTTTCACCTAGGGTAAAAAAATTCCTGGCTACGTCACTGGTGTTTATGTTTATGTATGATTCTGTGATTCTGTTCTGAGTACAGTAGATATGATGTATGTACTGATCCTTGGTATAGGCTTAATAAATATATATACGTTTACATGGTATAGCCTGATTATATATGTTGTGCAGCCTAATCATGTCCCAGTTAATTGTTTCCGCGACACAAGAATGAGATTAATATTTGGTACGAGTGAAATAAAGAACGGCTAAATACCCATATTGGTATTTTAATTCAACCTCATTTGCCAAGAAGGCATTTTAAATAAAAAAATCGGTGTTAAGGCATTTTAATTGATTAAAATTACTAATTAGGTCATTTTTCTCGTCGGCGACCACTTTTCCGGCGAGAACTCGTCACGTGCGTGACACGTGATGACCACTTTTCCGGCGAGAACTCGTCACGTGCGTGACACGTGATGACTTAATCTGTATAAATACCCATATTAGTATTTTAATTCAACTCAATTTGCTGACACGTGATGACTTAATCTGTATAAATACCCATATTAGTATTTTAATTCAACTCAATTTGCCAAGAATGTATTTTAAATAAAAAATCGGTGTTAAGATATTTTAATTGATTAAAATTACCAATTAGGTCTTTTTGCTTGTCGGCGACCACTTTTCCGGCGAGAACTGGTCACGTGCATTTTAATTCAACCGATTTTCTGACGTGGCAGTGGCAGGAAGAATAAGAGTCGATGCATTTTAAAATCCCCCATTTCTAAAATTGGTAAAAAATTTAGCGAAAAATTCGTGGAGAAATTACCGTATAAATAGAACCTCTTTCTCTTGCATCGATCCATGGCCGCACCGGCGGCAATCTAGTCTGCAGTGGTCTTCGTCTTCTCACTTTCTTCTCTCCGAATTCCCATGGCGTTTTCTTCTAGAAGTTCCTGGAATCGGGGGTTTTGGCTTCTTCTGTTAGCGGTAAAGGTAAGATAATTGAGTTGGATCTGAGATCTGGAGTGAATGCGTGGAAGTTTGATCTTTGTTTTGAAATTTTTAGGGTTCAGGTTGGTTCGTTTTGGACTTAAATTGTGATTAAGCCACATCAGCAGCTAAAACCGAGCCACATCAGCAAATCGAGCCACATCATCAGCTAAAACACAGATTAAGTCATCACATGCCAAACACGTGACGAGTTCTCACCGGAAAAAGTGGTCGCCGATGAGAAAAAAGACCTAATTGGTAATTTTAATCAATTAAAATGCTTTAATGCCGATTTTTTTTTAAAATACCTTATTGACAAATGGGGTTGAATTAAAATACCAATATGAGTATTTATACAGATTAAGTCATCACGTGCCACGCACGTGACGAGTTCTCGCCGGAAAAGTGATCGCCGACGAGAAAAAAGGACCTAATTGGTAATTTTAATCAATTAAAATGCCTTAACGCCGATTTTTTTATTTAAAATAACTTTTTGGCAAATGAGCTTGAATTAAAATACCAATATGGGTATTTAGCCAATAAAGCACGATAAATCTTAAGAGCATTTTTCCGAGATAAAGTAAAAACCTCTATTAGGTAATCAGACTAGTCACGTGGCGGTTACCCTTTCTTACGGTTACCGTTGAGGTGAGCGGATACTAGATTTCCGAATAGCACCTGGCAATAGCTGAGAATTAATTGGTCGGACTAAACACAATCACACCTCACCTTCAACGGTCTAGATCTCGCCACGTCGTCCAGACAGCACGCACCGGACTTCGCACGTGCTGCCAGCCCGACCACGGTCCTGTCTCGTTCGCCTCGGGTTCTCTGTAAAAAGGGGGAGGGAAAAATAAAAAAAAATTAAAAACTTAAAAAAATAAATAAAAAGTAAAAATTAAAATTAAAATTAAAATTAAAAGGGTTGGTTGGGTTCTTCGCACCCAGTAGCACTCGCCACTCTTCGCCGAGACTTTTCTGGAAATTTATTATTCTCGAGAGGAAAAAAAAAGGAAAATTTGGGGTTTTTTCCATTTGAATCGATCTGGGGGGTGATTGGAGCTTGGAGAACTTGCAAGCACTTTGATTGGTTGAGGTATTAGTCTCCTCTTCACTCGTTTACATCATTTTTTTGGGTTTTTTTGGGGGAAATTTATGGTATGCGAGTTAGTTGTTTTTGTGAGCATTGTGGTTTGTTCTTCTTGCAATGCATTTGGACCTTGGTTTTACCTGGCAAAGATCCGAGCTTTATCAGCTTTCTTGCGGTTGTGATTAGGGCTTGACCTTCGTCTATTTTGGCTTTTCCCCCTTCCTTTTTTGTGTTCATTTGGAGCAAGTTTTGGAATGTTACAGCAAACGAGAGTCCTAACACCTAGGGATTTTTTTTATGAAGGAAATGTTGGGGAATCTGCGGTTTTGATTTCAGATATATTTTTCTCGAAAAATTATCTAGTTTCCTGTTTTGTCATTCGGCAGTCTAGCGTTTGGATTCAATCGATGATGATCTTTCTCGACATTGTAGGAGATTTTAGGCGATTCTTTTGAGATTTCGTCTCTAATTTGGGGAAGTTAAGTTTTGGCCCCGAATTAAAATCCAACGTCTCTATGACTTGATTCAGTGCACTAAAGCTCAAAGTTACAATCTTTCTTCTATTTCTGTGTAGGGTTTTTCTCTCCATCTCAAATCTTAGAAAGCTCAGTATCTTATCACCCCATTTTCAGGAAACAGCAGGTTTCGAGTTGAGCCCTAGCCTGTAGTCCAAGATGATGCAGAGACCTATGCCTATGCGATCCGAAGATTACTCCATAAAGGAGACCGCTCCTCACCTCGGCGGTGGAATCGCTGGTGACAAGCTCACCACCACCTATGACTTAGTTGAGCAAATGCAGTACCTTTATGTTCGCGTTGTCAAGGCGAAAGACCTCCCTGCAAAAGATGTTACTGGTAGCTGTGATCCTTATGTCGAGGTCAAGCTTGGGAACTACAAAGGTACTACTCGCCACTTCGAGAAGAAGACCAACCCTGAATGGAACCAAGTATTCGCCTTCTCGAAGGAGCGAATCCAAGCTACTACATTGGAGGTTGTAGTTAAGGACAAGGATTTAGTGAAGGATGATTTCATTGGTCGGGTCTCTTTTGATTTGAATGAAGTCCCGAAGAGAGTTCCACCGGATAGTCCACTTGCCCCACAGTGGTATAGGTTAGAAGATCGAAAGGGTGATAAGACTAAAGGAGAGCTAATGCTTGCTGTTTGGATGGGTACTCAAGCTGATGAGGCATTTCCAGATGCTTGGCATTCTGATGCTGCTACACTTCCTAGTGAAAGCCTTGCTCATATAAGATCGAAGGTGTATCTAACACCCAAGCTTTGGTATTTGAGGGTTAATGTGATTGAAGCCCAAGACTTGATACCTGGTGATAAGGGCCGGTTTCCTGAAGTCTATGTTAAGGTCATGCTTGGGAACCAAATGCTGAGAACGAGGGTTTCTCAGATTCGAGGTCCAAATCCTATGTGGAATGAGGACTTGATGTTTGTGGCAGCAGAGCCGTTTGAGGAGCACCTGGTTCTGAGTGTTGAAGACAGGGTTGGGCCCAATAAGGATGAACTATTGGGGAAGACTGTAATTCCCCTTCAAACGGTGGATAGGAGGCTGGATTACAAGGCGGTGAATGACAAATGGTATACCCTTGAGAAGCATGTCATTGTTATGGATGGTGATAAGAAAAAGGAGTTCAAATTTTCTAGTCGGATACATTTGAGGATATGTTTAGATGGAGGGTATCATGTCTTAGACGAATCAACCCATTACAGTAGCGATCTCAGGCCTACAGCAAAACAATTGTGGAAGCCAAGCATTGGAGTGTTTGAATTGGGAATTTTGACAGCACATGGGTTGTTGCCGATGAAAACTAAAGATGGAAAAGGCACAACAGATGCCTACTGTGTTGCTAAGTATGGACAGAAATGGGTTCGAACGAGAACTATTATTGACAGTTTCACTCCGAAATGGAATGAGCAGTACACTTGGGAGGTTTATGATCCATGCACTGTGATAACGATTGGGGTATTTGATAATTGTCATTTGTATGGTGGTGAGAAGTCGGGAGGCGCAAGGGATAACCGAATTGGGAAAGTGAGGATCAGGCTCTCAACTCTCGAAACTGACAGGGTCTACACTCATTCGTATCCTCTTTTAGTCTTGCTCCCTAGCGGCGTGAAAAAGATGGGTGAAGTTCAACTTGCTGTCAGATTCACTTGCTCGTCTCTTCTCAATATGATGCATATGTATACCCAACCGTTGCTTCCCAAAATGCATTACCTCCATCCCCTCTCTGTTAATCAGCTCGATAGCTTGAGGCACCAGGCAACCCAGATAGTTTCTATGCGCTTGAGCCGAGCGGAACCACCATTGCGGAAAGAAGTTGTCGAGTACATGCTTGATGTGGATTCTCATATGTGGAGCATGAGGAAAAGCAAGGCTAACTTCTTCAGAATTATGGGTGTCCTGAGTGGTTTGATTGCTGTAGGGAAGTGGTTTGATCAGATTTGCAACTGGAAAAACCCAATCACCACAGTGCTCATCCACATCCTTTTCGTGATCCTGGTACTCTATCCTGAACTAATACTACCAACAATCTTCCTCTATTTGTTTTTGATCGGGGTTTGGTACTTTCGATGGAGACCAAGGCAGCCTCCGCACATGGACACCCGATTATCTCACGCTGAGACGGCTCATCCTGATGAGTTAGACGAGGAATTTGATACCTTTCCAACCTCTCGTCCTCCAGATGTTGTGAGGATGAGGTATGATCGTCTGAGGAGTGTTGCAGGGAGAATACAGACAGTGGTCGGCGATCTTGCAACTCAAGGAGAGAGACTACAGTCTCTGCTAAGCTGGAGAGACCCGAGGGCAACAGCCCTTTTCATTACCTTCTGTTTGGTTGCTGCCATTGTTCTTTATGTGACCCCATTCCGTGTTGTGGCCTTCCTCACTGGTATCTATGTGCTGAGACATCCGAGGTTCCGTCATAAGCTTCCTTCGGTTCCGCTGAACTTTTTCAGGAGGCTACCTGCAAGAACTGATAGTATGCTATAAAAACTGCCTGGTTCAATCTCCTTCCTCTTTGTCGCAAACTGCTCCGCAATGGAATTGCAGGTTGCAGGTTAGTGGTCTTCAGTGTGATATGTAATCTTCAATTGTTTTCTGCTTCTTTTGTTCTTGTATCCTTAGATGTTAGCCTTTGTTGTATTTCTTATTCTGTTAGTTTTGAGAACCTTTTGATTGTGTAATTAGATTTGTGGCAGTAGTAGGTAGTTTGTGATGTGCTTTGGTCCTAACTTGTGTGCTTCCATTTTTACTGTACTGTTGGCGTTTTAAGTGCATCAGCTCCTATCTCACTGATTCAGTTTAACCTCCTGGGAGTCTGATATTAGGTTATGACCGTATTTTCTTGTGGTTTTCTTATAGCGTTTTTGCCTGGAAAACTACCTTAAAATAGGTCATTTAATAGGAATCACCTTTCATCTTCAATGTTTACGTAAAACCATCCTTAAAGTGTTTCTGTTATAATTAACCACCTCATGGTTTAAGTTTTTATAATTTATAAAACCAAAAATAACCTTAAGAATGCACGCTTAAAGTACGTGACTTGTATTCTAGATAGACCTAAATATTAACGAAAGCGAGTCACGTTTATTGAACGTGAGCTTTTTAAAGGATTTTTTGAGTTTTTAGTGAAAATTTTGAACGTGAGCTTTTTAAAGGATTTTTTGAGTTTTTAGTGAAAATTTTGATTGGGAGGTGGTTGATTGGAGCAAAATCTGTTTTAAAGATGATTTACGTATAAATTGAAAATGAAAGTTGGTTTTTGTATAATGATTCTACTTTAAAGGTAATTTCTAGAAAAATATAGAAGGGGGAAAAGCCTTTCTTAGATCCGCTCCCCACTGAATGGTGATGATTTCTGTGCGTGTAACGGGAATTTATGGTTCTTAATGTTATGCTTGTTAAAATTTGTGTTTACAATTTGGGATGAGGTATTTAATCATATTAGCAAGGTCTTTTAAAGCATTTCAAGTTGTCTTACAACTGTACGGAACGTGGTAAAGGGAAAACCACAATTTCCTCATTTTGTCTGTTTGGATGGGGCCGAACGAGGGTCATGGAAAGGAAGTTAAATATATTCATCTTATTTTAAAGGAATGGAGGGAATGGGAAGTCACAAATTCTATATTCGTTAATCTCTATTTTATATAATTTAATCACCTTCCAAATTATTTTGGACTATCGTGATACAAATTCAACAGCTAAGAAATGATTCCCCTTCGTTCTCTTTACTAGACTCCCAAATATTATTATGAGTGGTGTTAGGGGCACACCCTCAACCACACCCTCCACCACACCTCCTCTCCCTCTATAGTGCATTGGACCCCACATCAAATTTTTAAAAAAAATTGATGTGAGACCCAATACACTATAGATGGAGAGGAGGTGTGGTTGAAATTGTGGTTGGGGGTGTGCCCCTAACATTTCTATATTATTATTACTTCTCTCCTCACCTACCTTTTCTCTTCACTTGTTTCTCCCCTTCCCTCCACCTACGTCAGTAAACTCCCAAACATAGTAAGATCTTTATTTGTTAATTATTATTTGGTCTATGATATTCCTCCGCTTTATCCTTGTAACTTATTAGGGGTGTCCCCTAGCTACTGCGTTGGCTGTTGGCATCTGGACGCAGGTAGTAATAGGTTCGTAAAAGGTGGATGCCCTTCCCCTTTGAGCTTTTATGGATGATGGAAGGGTTTTTTTTTATTCCCTGTAAAAGGCTGCGGCTGCCGGAGTCGCTGCTTTATTTTTCTCCCATCCCTTCCTTTTCTTCATGTTTTTTTTTCTCTGTCCTTGTGTGCTTGCATCAGTACTGTTCCGCACCACCTTTTTGCTTCCCCGATAAAAAAGGAATACTATTTATAGGCTCGGTTTATGGCGTATGTTGTTGTTTTAATAGTGTTAATTGTCGTTGTTGCTACTGTATTTTTTTTTTTTTTTTGAGATCGGAACAGATCGGAAATATTTTGAGGTTATGAGGATGAAACATTTTGTACGAATTTTTTTTTTTTTTTTAGCGTTGGGTTAGTTTCAGATGTTAAAACCTCAGTTTGAGAACGTGTTTGGTTGAATGTAAAAACATACGAAAGATGACGGGAAATAAGCTCTAGAAGAGGACAGAGATAATAAGTTTTCCAAAAATTTTTAATCTTCATCCATTTAGGAAGGCTAAATAGCAGTTGGACACAATATTGTTTCGCATACTTTTCACTTATATACCTCCCGCTTATATTTTGGTGGTAAGAAAATACTTTGAAGTTTATTAAACTTGTGCTTATATACCTTCACCTTTTTTTGCGGCACTTAGATACCCTATAGTTTTTACAATTGGCACTTAAATACCTTAAGTTTTTTTATTAATTGCATATTAATATCCTCAATTATACAAATATTCGATGGTATTTAAGTACAATTTTGAAACTTTAAGGTATTTAAGTGCCAAATTTAAAAACTTTAGGGCACATGAGTGCTGCTAAAAACAACTGAGGGTATATAAGTGCAAATTTAGAAAACTTTAGGGTATTTTCTTGATACCAAATACAAATTGGGGTACATTTGTGAAAAGTGGGTGAAACACTAGGGGATATGAGTGCTACTTAGCCATTTAAGAACATGGAAAAGTAAACAAATATTGGCAAAAAAAAAGTATACATTTGCTTTAAAAAAAAAAAGAATTACATTTTACTTGTACACCCATTCTTCACTATATATATTTCTATTAATAATCTGGCATGAAAATGTATGTTTTGTTATAATCTTATGACCTACGAATCAAAAACATCTGGATTGGCAACACACGAGTCAGTAGGTTCTCAACCATCACAAATTGTAATTTTTTTTTCAAATAATCTTATTTAAAAAAAAAAAACCGAAGCATGCAATCTTCCGAGTTTCCATCTCAATTTCAGAGCATGCCATCAATTTTTGACGCCAATCGCCGGAAAAAGTTTCCGGGTGTCGATGGCATCTTACTCCGAAACCTCGGATGCCTCATCTTATACAGCCCGGCTGCCATCACCACCACCGCCAATAAGCAGAAAACCACGAACAAGCAAGTTGCCCGTGGGTCCCGCCAGCTCAGCAACCCTCGGATCCGCTCCCCCTGCGTCGCCACGTCTCCGACCACCGCTTGCACCCTCCCTGCCACCGTCCTCAGCCTATCATACCTGCATTTACCAAAACTTAGCTCATGTCCAACATATATTCCAGCGGGTTTTAATTGCAGACATGCTTTTTGAATTAAAAGATATCAGCTATTTATTTAACTTTTTCTTTATTAGTGCTTTCTACTCCGGTGTACGCGGTTGATGCGCGATATAGAACAGAATGCACAGAACTAGCGTAGTCCAATTGCGAAGGAAATGAATACTACAGAGTGCTGGGTTTTTTTTCCCTAGTGTGAAGCCAATTCCGTTGGTTTTTCCTTGTGTGGGACCGTTTTTGTTGAACTTTTTTTTTCCCTCAAGAGTTGGTGCATTTATGTTGATTTTCCCACCGAATAGACGGAGGTAAGCTTTCTCCGGCGCATTTCTTTGATTGTTTTCCAAATGTGAGAGCATTTATGAAATATCCTAAAAATTTGACGCAAATCAAAAATAAAAAAGTGGTCTTTAAGATAGGGTCTTTCTGAGCACAAGGATGTTTTCTTTGGTTTTGCCTAGCGTGAGTAATTGTTGTTGATTTTTCTATAATGTTTCTAGTATTCAATGCACTTTAATTGATTTGTTCGTGGTGTGACCGTGTGAGAAAGTTTTTAAAGTGTGAGAACATTTTCCAATTTTCTAAAAATTTGACACATAAACCAAAAGCAAGGAAATTTTGAAAACCAACTCATTTCCAAACTTATCCATAAAAAACAACCTATTTGAAACTTATTTGCCAAAAGCGACTAAATTTCAGCCAACTGGCCGAAACTGGGTCGTTTTTGGTGAAAAAAAATACCAAACTTCACGGGACTTCAAGTCCCGTGAAGTTTTTTACATAACAAAACTTCACAGGACTTGAAGTCCCGTGAAGTTTGATACTTTTTTCCCCACCAAAAACGACTTAGTTTCAGCAAGTTCTGGGTTGCTTTTAAAAAATAAGTTTCAAAGATGTCTTTTTTTACAATTATTTTTAAAAATTAATTGCTTTTTAAAATTTGTCCTTATCATTTTGACATTCGAACCTACTCTATATGTGACTGCATGGGATGTAGCCACGTCGAACAAATGAAATTAGCCTATTTCCTTTTTTTGGGTGTCCAAGAAATTAGCCAAACAGAACCCTAAGAGAATAGATTCCTCTCTGTAATACAATGCAGTATCGATGAACCTATGTACGCCGCATTCACGTTAAGCTTATAACCGGTGGCAGTGGCGGATCCACAACCTCTCGTGTGGTGGTTCGAAATTAACGCTAATTTTTTTTTCAAATACTACTAAGGAAAGCATTAAAATAATAAACAAATAATAATAAAGAGAAAATAAGAGAAAGTAGAAATGTAAAGAGAAAATAAGGATTATAGGAGAAATTAGAAACATAAAAGAGCTGTAGGAGGTTTTGAACCTTTGACCTCTTTGAAGGTAAGCTAATGCTTATACCACTAGGCTACAAACTAACATATCTGAGGTGGTTCAAATGAACCACTTTGAACAAGAACAGATCCGCCACTGACCGGTGGGTACAGAGAGAGAACTCAATTACGGATTGACCCCCTCTAGCATTGCCCGGTTGTGGATAGCCCCTTAGTTCCATTGGTGCGGATAGACCCTCTATATAGTATTCGCCCAAGTACGAGTAGATATCCTCTTTTTTTTAACTCTTTTAAGAGTCAATAATTACGAATTGGGAGTTTTATCTACACCAATAGAACTACAAGGGGCCTATCCGCGGGTATAAAACTAGTTGTTTTCTCTTTTAAAAGTAATAAAAATAAAAAATAAAAAATCTCTCAAGAGTGTCTTTGCCTAATTAGAACTATAAGGGATCTATCTGCAACTGGGCGATACTGCAAGGGCAAATATTTGCAATTAGCCCACCAAAAAAGTTGTGACGCTTATGGGGTGTTTGGTTGCACAATTTTATAGAAAAGTTTTCTCAAAATGTCTGGCAATGGCAATTCTATAATTAAAATTTTTTTGTAGATTTCCGTAAACTGTGTTTGGTTCAAAAAAAATTTACAAAAATATTTTCTGTAAAGTACAAAAAAATACTAAAATTTACAGAAATCAATTTTTTCTCAAAATGGACGGAAATCACCCAAAAATCTGACACCACATTGACACTTTTCTATAAAATTAGAGTGTGGTTCAATTTCTACAAATTATAGAAAATCTTGCTATTTTCTATAAAGTTATGAGCCATTTTTTTGTTTTGAACCAAACAAGCAAAGTAAAAATAATAATAAGAAAATTGGTACTTTTTGACTTCTCAAAATTTTTCCTATAATTTTTTTAAGAAATACAAGAAAATCATATTTTGGATATTTTGGGTGGAAAACATTTCCTATAATTTGTAAAAATTGAACCAAACATCCTCTTAAAAGATCATTTTAAACTACATGTGCCAGAAATTCATACCTCATCCTCACCAATTCCGGCGACCTGCTCGTCGGATACGTATCAAACTCCTCATCAAGCTCATCCGGACTGGCCGCCTACACGTCCACCCGCCGGCCCCCGAGGCCGACCCCTATACCTCCACACTCCAATCACGACCATATACATAAACACCGTCGGCAATATCAACTCTGGGCATCTAACCAGTATGAGAAACAAAACGTGCACAAGAACAGTTGTGATCGGTTTCGACCACCTGCACACCTCCCTGAACCATCCAATCGCTCCGATCGCCCCCGACAACAGAGCCATTATTCGAAAGAAGTTCGCCTTGCTCCGCCTCAAGCTCCAAAGTTGCTCATCACCGTCTAACATATACTCAATCACTTCCTTTCTCAGTGGTGGCTCAGCCCTGCCAAGCCTCGCTGCGATGATGCCGATCGTTTGGCGTCGGAGACTGCTGATCTCGCCCATCGTGAAGGGATGCACATAGTGCATCTTCGGGAGGAGCGGCTCGCTGTAGAGATGGATCATGTTCGCATAGGATATGCATGTGAACCGCACAGATAGCTGGAGCTCGCCCATTTTGTGCACTCCTGTGGCCGCCGATGGCTGAAGAACTAATAGAGGGTAGGACTTGGTATGTACCTTACCAGACTGTAGAGTCGACAGTCGGATTCGAATCTTTCCGATTCTTGAATCTCTGCCGACTGCAGAGAGATTGCAGTTGTCGAACACTGCGATGGTGATCACTGTGCACGGGTCAAACACGTCCCAAGTGTACTGCTCATTCCAGTCTGGACTGAACGATCCGATGACTGTTCGCGTCCGAACCCATTTCTGACCGTGCCGTGCGACGCAGTAGGCATCGGTCTTGCCTCTGGCCTTCATCGGTACTAAATTCTTGGCGCCAAGAATTCCAAGTTCCAAAACTCCCACTGGTGGCTTCCACAGTTGCCGGGAGGTAGGCTGAGTATCACTTACGTAGACCATGGCTTCGTCCATGACGTGATAAGCTCCTTCGAGGCAGACCCGAAGGTGGATTCTGCTTGCGAATCTCATCTCTCTTCTAGCATCATCTTCGAATAGGCCTAGACCGAACTTCTCTAAATCGAACCATCTCGAGTGCACTATAGGTTTGTGATCGAGTCTCTTTTCAAAGACTGATAACGGGAGGGCTAGCCTCCCGAGTACTTCATCCTTCACTGGGCTGACACGGTCCTCAATGGTGAGGACTAGTTGATCCTCGAAAGGCTCAGCAGCGACAAACATGAACTCTTCATTCCATAACAGGTTGGCATTGGCCGTCAACGGGCAAAACCTGGTCTTGTGAACCTGGTTGTTGATTTGGGCCTTGACGAAGAGCTCAGGACGGTGATTCCTACTGTCCGGTCGAACATCCTGTGCTTCGATTATGTTGACACGAAGATACCAGAGCTTAGGTGATACATACACCTTCGAGCGTATGTTGAGAGCTCCTCCATTTTCGACGAATGAAGCAGAATCAGAATGCCAGGCCTCGGAAAACGCCTCATCAGCCTGTGTCCCCATCCACACTGCCAACATTATCTCCCCCCTCGCCTAAACAAGAAAAATGAGCACGATGTTCAGTTCAAATATCAATCCAACGTGCTAAAAGAGTTTACATCCTCACCTTGCCATCTCCTCGACGGTCAAGCAACCGATACCAATGAGGCGCCAATGGGCTATCAGGAGGAACCCTAGCTGGGACCTCATTGAGATCGAACACCACCCTACCGATACACTCATCTCGGCTCGCCATCTCTTTGTCCTTCAAATACACCTCCAGCGTCGAAGACTGGATGCTGTTCTTGGAGAAGGCAAACACCTGGTTCCATTCTGAGTTCGGCCTCCTGTCGAAATGCTTCGTCGTGCCTCTGTAGTTGCCAAGCCTCACCTCGACGTAGGGGTTGCAGGGTCGCCCGGTGATAGAGCTGGGCTGAAGGTTTCGGGCCTTTGCGACTCTGACATAGAGATGCTGCATTTGATGGACTAGGTCGTAGGGTGTCGTCGTGGCCCATTGATCATCGGAAGATGGGCTTATGCGCATTGGACCGTAGGGGGCAGGCTCACTCCGGCCAGCTCGGAGCTGCATCGGTTATCTGAAAGACTGAAAGGAGCTGTATTAGTAGCAAAATCTCATAACAGTCCCTTGATACCAAGACATCGACAAGTATTAAGAGTTTGAATCCTTACCTTGTGTGAGGAAGTGAAGGTTGGACCGTGGAATGATCCTCTTGTCGCTGCCACTGATAGATATCGGACAGGACATGATTCTTTAAGCTTCCACCTGCAAGAAACCTGAACCCTGATGCCGAAGCAACGTTTGGAGGACATTGACACTTTTCTATAAAATTAGAGTGTGGTTCAATTTCTACAAATTATAGAAAATCTTGCTATTTTCTATAAAGTTATGAGCCATTTTTTTGTTTTGAACCAAACAAGCAAAGTAAAAATAATAATAAGAAAATTGGTACTTTTTGACTTCTCAAAATTTTTCCTATAATTGCCGCACGTCCACCTCCGCCGGCCCCCGAGGCCGACCCCTATACCTCCACACTCCAATCACGACCATATACATAAACACCGTCGGCAATATCAACTCTGGGCATCTAACCAGTATGAGAAACAAAACGTGCACAAGAACAGTTGTGATCGGTTTCGACCACCTGCACACCTCCCTGAACCATCCAATCGCTCCGATCGCCCCCGACAACAGAGCCATTATTCGAAAGAAGTTCGCCTTGCTCCGCCTCAAGCTCCAAAGTTGCTCATCACCGTCTAACATATACTCAATCACTTCCTTTCTCAGTGGTGGCTCAGCCCTGCCAAGCCTCGCTGCGATGATGCCGATCGTTTGGCGTCGGAGACTGCTGATCTCGCCCATCGTGAAGGGATGCACATAGTGCATCTTCGGGAGGAGCGGCTCGCTGTAGAGATGGATCATGTTCGCATAGGATATGCATGTGAACCGCACAGATAGCTGGAGCTCGCCCATTTTGTGCACTCCTGTGGCCGCCGATGGCTGAAGAACTAATAGAGGGTAGGACTTGGTATGTACCTTACCAGACTGTAGAGTCGACAGTCGGATTCGAATCTTTCCGATTCTTGAATCTCTGCCGACTGCAGAGAGATTGCAGTTGTCGAACACTGCGATGGTGATCACTGTGCACGGGTCAAACACGTCCCAAGTGTACTGCTCATTCCAGTCTGGACTGAACGATCCGATGACTGTTCGCGTCCGAACCCATTTCTGACCGTGCCGTGCGACGCAGTAGGCATCGGTCTTGCCTCTGGCCTTCATCGGTACTAAATTCTTGGCGCCAAGAATTCCAAGTTCCAAAACTCCCACTGGTGGCTTCCACAGTTGCCGGGAGGTAGGCTGAGTATCACTTACGTAGACCATGGCTTCGTCCATGACGTGATAAGCTCCTTCGAGGCAGACCCGAAGGTGGATTCTGCTTGCGAATCTCATCTCTCTTCTAGCATCATCTTCGAATAGGCCTAGACCGAACTTCTCTAAATCGAACCATCTCGAGTGCACTATAGGTTTGTGATCGAGTCTCTTTTCAAAGACTGATAACGGGAGGGCTAGCCTCCCGAGTACTTCATCCTTCACTGGGCTGACACGGTCCTCAATGGTGAGGACTAGTTGATCCTCGAAAGGCTCAGCAGCGACAAACATGAACTCTTCATTCCATAACAGGTTGGCATTGGCCGTCAACGGGCAAAACCTGGTCTTGTGAACCTGGTTGTTGATTTGGGCCTTGACGAAGAGCTCAGGACGGTGATTCCTACTGTCCGGTCGAACATCCTGTGCTTCGATTATGTTGACACGAAGATACCAGAGCTTAGGTGATACATACACCTTCGAGCGTATGTTGAGAGCTCCTCCATTTTCGACGAATGAAGCAGAATCAGAATGCCAGGCCTCGGAAAACGCCTCATCAGCCTGTGTCCCCATCCACACTGCCAACATTATCTCCCCCCTCGCCTAAACAAGAAAAATGAGCACGATGTTCAGTTCAAATATCAATCCAACGTGCTAAAAGAGTTTACATCCTCACCTTGCCATCTCCTCGACGGTCAAGCAACCGATACCAATGAGGCGCCAATGGGCTATCAGGAGGAACCCTAGCTGGGACCTCATTGAGATCGAACACCACCCTACCGATACACTCATCTCGGCTCGCCATCTCTTTGTCCTTCAAATACACCTCCAGCGTCGAAGACTGGATGCTGTTCTTGGAGAAGGCAAACACCTGGTTCCATTCTGAGTTCGGCCTCCTGTCGAAATGCTTCGTCGACCCTACCGATACACTCATCTCGGCTCGCCATCTCTTTGTCCTTCAAATACACCTCCAGCGTCGAAGACTGGATGCTGTTCTTGGAGAAGGCAAACACCTGGTTCCATTCTGAGTTCGGCCTCCTGTCGAAATGCTTCGTCGTGCCTCTGTAGTTGCCAAGCCTCACCTCGACGTAGGGGTTGCAGGGTCGCCCGGTGATAGAGCTGGGCTGAAGGTTTCGGGCCTTTGCGACTCTGACATAGAGATGCTGCATTTGATGGACTAGGTCGTAGGGTGTCGTCGTGGCCCATTGATCATCGGAAGATGGGCTTATGCGCATTGGACCGTAGGGGGCAGGCTCACTCCGGCCAGCTCGGAGCTGCATCGGTTATCTGAAAGACTGAAAGGAGCTGTATTAGTAGCAAAATCTCATAACAGTCCCTTGATACCAAGACATCGACAAGTATTAAGAGTTTGAATCCTTACCTTGTGTGAGGAAGTGAAGGTTGGACCGTGGAATGATCCTCTTGTCGCTGCCACTGATAGATATCGGACAGGACATGATTCTTTAAGCTTCCACCTGCAAGAAACCTGAACCCTGATGCCGAAGCAACGTTTGGAGGAAGCTCAGGAAGAGGAAGAAAGGAATAGTTACTGCTCTGATATACCACGTGGAAGTCTAGCTTTTGCTTCCCATGGAAGCATGAAGAAGAGCATGAGAACCTTCATTTTGTTTCTATCCCTTTCTTATTTGAAGAGCAATATGCTCAAAAGGCATGGGAACACAAGTTCGCATGAAAGAATTAAGGAAAATAAAGGTGAAGAGATCTTCATGATCGGAAAACAGACAGACAGGCTACAGTCGTAGAGTATTTCAACTTTCAGCAGGCATTCAGTTCAAATAAATCACAACACAAAACACAAACACAAATCTTTCAGCTTTTATTCCAGGTTGAATGGAGAGAATTTGTTTGTAACTAATTTTCAGCTACATAAGAACTGCTCAGGTGAGCTCTCCCTAACCCTTACATATTGAACAGTCTCTGCCATGATTTTAAATTAGGTATACATACTAAAACAGAAGCACAAGAAATGCAATAAAAATCCAGAGAAAAGTAGTTTGTGAGCAGCCATTTATTAATCAATTTATGGACTGAAGATCAAGATGGTTTTAAACGAGCTCTCTGCTACAAGCTCTCTGCTATAGCGGCACCAAAATTCCAACCACTTCGAGCCATCGAGTCAAAAGTTTGATGACTAAACGTGATTCATATGTTAAAAGGTTCCCTCATATCCTGCGAAGTCTTCACTAAACATTCTTTGGCCCTTTTTTCTGCTTCTTGGATTCAAGAGAAGCCAACCCAGATCCCAAGCCAACAGGAGCTCGTTCTTCAGCAGATCCATTTGTGCCCTTGTCATCTATAACAGCACCATTCGATGCAAGGCTCTCACTAGAGTCTTTAGTTTCAGTTGATTGAGAAGCTTCAGTAGCAGTAGAGGTATTATTGATAATGTTAAGGAGTTGCGTAAGTGGCAAACATTGGACGGGAGCAACATTTTGACGGACAAGGAGGCCTCTAGCAGCTGCTTTCTTCCGAACTTCTGCAGCAGCCTTAGCAGCCCTTTCATCTCGTCCTCGAGAAATACTCTCTCCAATTAGGGCAGCATTAAGAGATTTGTTCAATGATGAAGAAGTGGCATTTGCAGACCCCGCGTTTGTGGCTTGTAGTGCTTGTACTAGGTTAGGATGAGCCTGACAAAAGGATGGAAAGAAAATGAATCATTTGACGCCAAGCTGGATAAATCTCAGAATTTTAAGTTCTAGGGAAGTATAGAAAGTCATACTGTTAGAACTTTTCTCTTCCAAATAAAAGACTGGGGATAGTATCTATAATCTATCTAGCAGAGAGAATAATGGCCATCAGTTATCATAGGAAACTTGCCACTTTTGCCTGAAAGCCAAATGCATTTAATCTCTCGTTTCTCCATTCTGTGTGCTGTGTACATGCACATGTTTTATGCTAACAGATTCCTTATTAAAAAATATATATATATCTGCAACCATATATCCAATTTAAAGCCGGAAAACTACAAGATCTTTGGTATATCTATGTGGAGATTCATATGGACCTGTAGAGCATCCAAGAAAAATGTGACTTATTGCCAAGGAAGAAGTCTCCTCCAATGTCAGACTTTATCGTGACCGTGTGCTTGAGTGCACCAATATGCAAAATCAAAACACTTAGTTTTTATATTTGACATAAATTTTTAATATTGAAACAGCCTTGTTGATTAAACAGAAGAAACACATCAATGTTGTTATTTAATGAATTTAGTGACCACATAACTGTCTTAACATTAAAATTTGATTAGCAAAAAGAAATTACAAGTGGATTAGTTCTAATTACTTATATTAAGTGTATATCCATTGTCTTTACATTTGTGTATTCATCACTTTTTTAGAAACTTTAAAACCAGAGTTCTAAAAGACATTCTGATGTTTCAACAATTAAGTATGGAAGCTCTCTAGTCGCATCACCGGAGATCAGCTAGAGAAGTCAGAAACCACTGTTCTTCAGCAACTTACTGGAAAATATTTGCACTGAGTTCAAGAAGCATCAAGTTCATTCCACAAATATAATGATGAAAAGAACAAAATGTATATACCTTCAAAATATCAACAGCTTTTTGGGCAGAACTCAATGACTGTCCTTTCTGCTTCTGTGCATTAACCTGCCAGAAAAAGAATCGCACATCACTGGGCCATAAAAGCCTATTTGAACTCCTCTGGTGACCCAAATCTAAAGTTTTGAACACTAATTTTCATGTTCATTAGAAGTGGTTGGCATCTGACATATACTTACCATCTATCGTACATATAGTTACCATCTATCCTTGTACGACATGAACAAACTAAAATCTAAAGGAAAATGGTGCATTTCTTAGAAGCCAAGGTATTGCATCAGAAGACAGTAGCAATAGCTGAAAAATCACATATTCATCCAGAGATATACAAAAATAAGTCTGCATGGCATGCGGGCTAGCAGAAATCTCATTTCAATGTCCAATGGGTACCAGTAAAAATTGTCTTAATTAGGTAAAGGTGTCATCAAACATAATCCATTAAGCTAGCTGTCTTTAAGTCAAACATTCTCAAAAATTCGCACAACATTTGAGCTTTTGCGGACACTTTAAGCTTCTTACCTAATTTTCCTGAGTCACGTTCCAGCAAAAAGATATAATTAATTGCATAGGATTTTCTGACCACCTATCCACAAGTAAATCCATACTTTTTTTTGGCTTCCATTCAAATATTTCAAGATGATGTTTCCTCAATTTTATCATTGATTGAACAATATTATGTTCAGAAAGTTCTAGTGAAAAACCCGCCATAAGTTTGAGAATTCAACATACTGGAGAAATAGAAGGAAATGTAGACTACCTGCATCTCGCGCACTTTGAAAGTATTTATCCAATTCGCTGATTCCCGCGTCCGTGAGTCTTCCTCCCCAAGTTGTCTAGAAAGTATATCATAAGTTTTTTTCTCATGCTGAAATAGAAAAACAACAAATTGTTACCGCATAATGAAACCAACAAAAAAAGGCAAAAATCATGTGCCGAAGAACCAAGATACATAACCTGAAGAGAGAGCTTGTATGCTCCCATACAGTTGAATGCAATCGCAAGAGCATGGTAACAAACGGCAGTTTGAATATGCTCAGGACCAAGAAGACGCTCATTCTTCTTCAAGGCTTCTTGCAAATATCTCAGTGCGGTATCCATTTTCCCAAAATCCTGGTACATCATTGCAATGTTTATGAAAGTTGCTGCAACATCAGGATGGTCAGGACCAGATGACAGGCTCAACAACAACAATGTTCGGGACATATGACGAAGAGCCAGTTCTGTTTGAGTAAGGCCATGGTAGAACAGAGCCATGTTCGTGTAACTGAAATCAACAAAAATCAAGGAACAGATAGTTTCAAACAAATAAAATAAATAAAACTATCAAACAATATCAAAGTAAAATGACCAAGGATAAGGCTGTACCTGTGGGCTGTATCAGGGTGATCAAGTCCAAGGCAACGCTCATTTATGATAAGCTCTTTATGTTGCTGTACAATGGCTCCAGTCAGGTCGCCTGCATGATATAAGACCATAGCTAGATACCTGAAAGTTGAGATGTATGCACCATCAAGTTTGAACATGTGATATAGAGAGAGAAAATTTGTTTCTGGTATGCACGACAGAAAAGGAGGGTTAAAAAAATTCAAATCTTAACTTTTTGGTGGATGATTACATAGAGGAACAGATATGAATAAGCTCAAGTAATGAAAACTAATCAAATTCTTTTTGAGGTGAAAAAATTGGGGAACCTCTGTATTAGTGCTAAATGAAAATTTAGAAGCCCTTCATAAGTTTTTAAAAATATGGTTTGCAATCAAGATCGTCATGTCCCCATCAACAATGCATGATGAACATGCAAAGTTGCCAATCGGTAAAGGTAAATACTAAACAGTAGAAAATTCTAAGAAAATATGGACCACAGTGCCCGCAGCCAGCTTGAATCACATAACCAATTCAAGAAATGGCCCTACAGGACAAATCCCCTCGTATCTGGATTTCCCTCCATTCATAGGCACCTCAGGAAAAAAATATTAAACATCCAAATTTCACAAATTAGGAGTTATTTCAGCGTTGTATTCATTTACGAAAATAATAGGAAAACAAATTCATGAAACACAACTTGGCAAGAACATATCATAGAACAGACAGTTTTTAGTTTTCTTAAACACATTCATTGTTCATAACACGAGCTTCTGTGTAACATGATGGCTTCAGATTTATAAAATAGGTCTAAGAAAACAATGTATTAATTACCGGCAACAAGTAGCGACCTCTCGATGCATTGGACCTGTTACCTGCATTAAATTTCTTCAAACTTTTAGGAACTTTGACGGTGTAGTTACAAAATATAGAGGTGAGGAAACAGCATTGCTTACTTGTTGAAGAATGGCAAATGCTTCAGAGAAGAGGGTGTAGGCTTCATTCAACATTCCCTATAAAAAAAGGAGCATCTTAAACCATGACATTCATAACAAGATTCGCAACACTAGATACAAACTGAAAACCTGCAGAATGATAATATAGCAGAATAATTGGCAACGCATCTTATTTACTGAAACTAGTATACCTCAGCCAGCCGACTTTTTCCTGCTTCCATGAGATCCCTTGCTTCAGAACAAGATGGAGCTGAATGTTTTACAACAGGCTGCAGGTTTAGGATATCTGAAGTTTGAAACGGTAATGCGGAAGCAAGATCATATTTCCGTGATGCAATTGTTATGCCTACCTGTTGGGAGCCAGGAAAGTTGAGGTACATGACATTTGAAATGTCAGTCTGGACTATAAACATGATGCTTGTCAAATAAAGTAGTTTAATTCTGAATTTATCACAATTTTAAGCTGCCTCCAGTATCAAGTGTAAAACATGTGACTAGAGCTAAACAAGACTATAAAAAAACTACAAACAAATGTTGAAAGATTTTTTTTAATGGACATTGAAGTATAATTTAAAAAAGACACAGAAGCTAATTTGTGAACAAGTAACTGTTTGGAGAAAAGTTTTATTTGCATTATGCAATACGAAAAAGGTCCAGACCTTTTGGCATAGATTTCTGACAACGGAGATCTTGTTTACTTGTGACTTTGCATCATCAGGCAAAACAAACTACATTCAAAGAAGAAATATTAGAACACTATTATATATAAAATCTATCAGGGGTGGATTTTCCTCAGGGGCTGCAACCGGGTTCAACATACCTGGTATTTGACTTTGGCAAATTCCTCAATGTGTGACCAGATTTCTTCAGAAGTCAAACACATGTATTCAGATTGATTTGTCCTACATCCATTACTCCACTTAATTTTCCCTTTATTTGACTTACGTGAAGATGGAAAGTTTGAATGGTCCTGTCAAATCAAAAGCAATAATCAAGTATTTTACCTTCACTTCTAATTATGCTCACTATTACGGATATTCAACATAGTTCTTCGCCTTCTTTTTCCACAAAATATAAGGAAAAGAAATTGGATAGCAAACAGAGAGATACGAAGAGAGAGAGAGAAACATTGGATTCAAAGAACATTTAACATTTCAAGTTACCATAAAAAAAGCCTCATCAAAATAGTTAATTCTAGTGTATGGAGGCAAGTTTATCTATAAAGTCTACATCCCTCTTACGTATATGTATTAAAAGTATGGATAACCATTTATACAAAGAACAAGCATCCTAAAGGACCCAAACGATAAAAATGTCATAAGCAAACACAGATGCAAGGAGGCATATAGAAATACACTAGAAGCTGAATTAAAAGATGCAGGGTTTCAGTTTTTTTGATACCTTCTTTTGGGGTTTTTGTTGCAAATTGTCAGCGATACTTTTCTCACTAGCAGGTAACACATTCCCAATAAAACAATTGAAGAAATGTGAGATTGCTGGTCCAAGATCATGATCTTGGGAATCCCTGAGTGTGTCCTGGCCAATCATGAAAAAGTCGTGAGACATGATGAAGTGCATTATAGTAAAAAAGTATAACTGATTCTCCAGAAATACATTCACATGGCTGTTATTTCTCAGTAAATTAAGATCTTCGCAGGGTTATATCCTCAAACTAAATAATCAAATTTCCATTGAAGACACTAGCACCAGGTTATGACTACTAATTACTCATGCTCAATCGAAATATGGACTGTTAAAGTCTGTAACCATTACTCCAAAACTCCGAAGTTGTAGTCAGGATTCTGGGATATATTTTTACATTCTAGCGTGCCCCCACAAGTTGAGCGCCCTTTTTATGGGTTGAAACATGGACTCACACAGTAGTGCCAATTTTTAAAAAATCCGCTTTAAATTCGTGGTCAATGGGATTTGAACATGGATTGCTCCTATACCATATTGAAGTCTCTAATCATAACACCAAAAGTCCAAAGTTGTGGTGAGGGTTGAGGGATATATATATATATATATATATATATATATATATATATATATATATATATATATAT